ATTTTTAAATTAAAATGCTAATTATACTTTTTATATTTTGTTAGGTTAATTTCACTTTTTATTGCTAATTCCAGGTTCTGTTTTCTATCCCTATGCTCTTAAATTTCAAATTTAAATTATGCTTTTAATTATGTTTAATTTAATTTTTTGGCTTTATTACTTTCCTTTTTTAGTGACCTATCATTTTAGGAAATTGGGTTTTTTTTTTTTTATTTTTCTTAGAGATCTTTAACCTCCATAATTTGTAGTTAAATTTAAGTTTTAATGATTTGGTAGTTGTATTAGTTTAATCTTATGTTAATTAGATTTTTAAAAATAAAAAAAAATCGTAGAATCAAATATACTCAAAATATTAAAATTGATAAATATCTCGAAATTTAGAACTTCCAAATCTCTAAGTAAATAATATCAAGAATACTTTTAATTTTTATTACTTTTGAGATCCGTATAATTACAGTACTCTTAATACTCTTAATGGTTAACAACAGTACCCATTTAAGCCTATCATCTCTCTATCCGCTGCTGATGACATTCCCGTCCAATCAGAATCTGCCACCATTGCAGTTGAAGAGGCCTCCTTTCAGGTACCATGCATATTCCTTTCAGTTCAGTTATCTTAAACTTTTAGTCTATTGTAAAGTAAAATGAAAGTTTAACCAAACGACGTGAAGTTTTATTGTAGCTGCTCGACTTTCATAGGGCTAATTATGATGGAAGGCGCTTTTTCTGTTTAGTCTCTTGCATCAGTCAACACTAGGCTTATGCAGTACAAACAGAATCATCTTTATTGTTAGTACAGTACGTTATTGAGTGAAAGAAACTCTTTTGATCGCCCCTCAATCATTTTAAGCATGACATAGTTTTTGAAGTTTATAGCGGCGTGGAAAAGCCCCGTTCATTTGGTTTGATTTGTTTTGCCAATTGTGATTTGCTTTATGTGTATGTATGTATTTATAGGAATGGCGACAAAATACTCTAGTAGGATTATTTTTATCTATTTCTATTTGCTCTTGGCATTTGTACCTAAGAAGATGGAGACATATTCGCAGGGGTTGAAAGGCCTGTGGGAGAAAGGAATTGGAGAGGGGATGCGATGGTGAGGGGAGGATTCATGGAGGCATTGCGATAGTCCCAGGGTTTGGTTGGTGGCCTATAAAGGCTTACCGGCCTTGTCCTGGATTTGTGGCAACTGGTGGTAGGTATAGGCGAAGTGGTCAAAGCATGGATGAGGTTGCCTTTGGAAGAGGAAATCCTGTAGGGACCCCTGATGAGGCTGAGTCAAGGTGATTCTATCTCTTAGTTTGTATTGGATAAGATTGTCTGGATTGGATTGTTCTAGGATTTTCTAAATTTTTCAGTTAATTTAGCTGAATTCGTTTTCTTGAGAACAACGAAGCATTCCAAGTCTCAACTTTGTATATTTGAACTGTAAGTTGGCTTCCTCCAGCTATTGAAAGGGCGGGGGGGGGGGGGGGGGTGATCCTTTGAGTTGGTTGCCTCGTTTGCACTGCACTTGTATGCGTGTATTTTCCAACCAATAGCCATCTTAACCCGCCAAACCTCCAAAGAAACTAGTTGATTTGAGTACTTATGTGATGCTTCTGATATACTATTTAGTTGCCAGTCCATATTTCTAATTATCTTTTCAAACTCATTCCATTAATCTGTGTACTCCTATTGTTAGTTTAAAGTTACAGTAAAAGTTTAATCCAACCAAACTTTGTGTTCCTGTTTTTTGGGTTGTTTTGGCTTTTTGAAGTCTATTCTCGTTATACAAGGTAATTTGAATCCTTGCAGCCAGAAAAAGCAAGGTCCAAGGAAGTTTAAAAAATAATCAATGCGGAGAATGAGATGTATACCCGCAACTGCAACATTTCCCCATTTCAGAAAAGCCAGACCTGGTGCAACCATTAGTCATGGGTTTCCCATTTTTTTTGCTTTGATCTTACGGAACATGGAAAAGCTGTTAAATTATGACATACACATCTTTGCTGCCTATGAATTGTCTTCCTTCCTAGTCGATGTGAAAACTGAAATGAGGGCGAGCAAACCCCTGATATTCACTACCAAATAATATAATTTTGTTAAAGCATAAATTGGCTGCCATTTCAAACTTATTTATTTTTTTCAAAGCATAATGAAATGGGAATCTTTAACTACAGTAGTTTTTCCTAAGATAAAACTTTGCCCTCGATTCTTGAACATCAATTAAACAATCCCAATATACATATAGTCGCAACACACAAATACACGAATTCCATCTTAATAGCCCGAAAAGTCGGTAGATGGAAGAAAGAGGCACGGAGACAAGGCTGGAGCTCGGAGACATCAGCCAAGTTTGGCCCTGATCTGTGCACAAGGTTCCATGATCCAGTGGTCTCAGGACATTTGTCTCTGAATCCTGTAAGCCCATGCGCATGACGTGGCAGTTGACACCATATGATCTTACGGTGCGCTCTTGCGCAATGCGCATGGAATAAATAAAACCCACAATCCGAAATCAGGATGAATATAAGCACAAACGGAAACCCAGGAAGCACAGACCCCAAAATAGGCAAAATTTCCCAAAATCAGATAAAATCAGTGAAATCCAAAATCTTCAATATTGTTAGATTTCCCAAAGACCCATAATGAGGAAAACAGAGAAATGGACGCGGAAACGAGAGAGAAGATAAAGAAAACGGTGAGGGAAATCCTAGAAGAAGCGGACATGGACGAAATGACAGAGTACAAGATTCGACAAATGGCTTCCCAGAAACTGGAACTTAACCTTTCCGACTCAAGTACAAGGCTTACGTCGGACATGTCGTCAATTCTTTCCTCGAAGAACAAAAAGCCAGACAAGAAGAAGAAGAAGCAGAAGCTGCAGCAGATGATGATGATGATAATAATAATAGTAACAACCAGAAGGAGTTTGATGACGATGGTGATCTCATTGTTTGCAAGGTTTGTTTCTATCTTTGCGTTTTCTTTTCCTCTTTTGCTGAGTTTAAGGAAAGTTTGGGTTTTCTATTTATTGGTTTGTTTTGTCATTTTCCCAGCTGTCTGAGAAAAGAAGGGTGACGATTTAAGAATTCAGAGGGAAAACTTTGGTTTCCATAAGGGAGTATTATAAAAAGGATGGCAAAGAACTTCCTTGTTCTAAAGGTAAATGTTTAGCTTAGTTTCAATTTTGAGTTGTTTCATGCTAATTATATATGTTGGTTTTCCTTTTATCTTTTAACATTTCAATGTCTGGATGAGTAGATGCTGCTGAAGTTAAGCTTTACTTTATTTAATAATGTATTGAACTTGTAAATGGCATAAAAGATTACATGAGTTCAACTTTCACCCTAATTTTCTGGATTGCTGCTATTTTGATCTACCATGTCAACAGATCTATGGTGCTTAAGAACTTTATATAGTTAACTCATAGGAAATTTGGTTGCACCAATCTGCAGGGATGGTGACTGATATGTGCCAATCTTGTAATGTTGCTATGAGTGTTTATTAACTTTTGCATAATGTTGCAAACATCTCCACGTATCATGCTTCATGATGTACGCCCTGTTTACACTTTTTTGTTCTCTATGTGCTTTTCAGGCAAATGTGATCACTGATTTGTAACTCAACTTGTATTGTCTTGAAGTGATTTAGATTACATTACTTAGCTCATGGATGCTTCCACTCATGTGCAGTGGATTTTATTTTAAACTTGCAAGAGAAAATTAATTTTATTTCTTTCCAGTATTTTACTTCTGCTTTGTTTAACTGTGGAGGAATTATAGAGGAAGTTATCATATTTTCACTTCTGCCTTGTTCCTATGAATATTACAAAGTATGTATCTTGGTTTCTTTGCTATGGTCAGGATATTAATCAACCAAAGAAAGCATTGAAATCAAATTCTGTGGTTACGGACTTTGGAGTGCTTTGAAAAAGGTGGGCGTAAAGCATAAAGAGAACCATGGATTTAATAAATATTCTTTGCGAATAGCCATATTACTATTACCTTCTTTTTCTTAGGCTTTTTTTTTTTTTTCTGTACTAACTCTATGTGAATGCTCTTCCTCATCTCGTTTTTTTTTAACCAGTTTCCTACCATATGCTACCTCTATAAGCTGCAGTTTTTTTATGGTTGGCTTTCATTGCTTTGTGCTGTATCTTGAGTAGCATTGTTTTGTTGTCATTTTTGTGATCTATCTAGGATGTCAAAATTGTTGATGTTTATTCAAATAGAAATGTAATTGTTTGGTTCATAAGCCTCATGCAACTTATGCAGGTATTCCAAAGAAAATTTTCTATCATAATGGCTCTTAAACAATTTCCCTCACTCTCTCTCTCTCTCTGTCTCTCTGCATTGTGCATGATTGTTTGATATTCTAGTTAAAGTGTTAATATATTCTTCATGATTGAACTTGATTCCCAGTTTTAACATTCCCTTCTGCCATTGTTGTGAAAGAATTTCATGTTTAATACTACTCCTTTTAAATTCTGGTGCTGCACCAACAGAAATAAGTTTGACAGAAGAACAATGTTCAGCCTTCAGTAGAAATATACCAAACATTGAGAAAGCTGTTAGGAAGATGGAGTCACAGAACATGTGAGAGCATCATCTAGGGACTAACTCTGAAGCGTTTCTTGAAATGTGTAATTAGAAGCCGGAAGTTAACCTTGGCATCTGCGGTAGCCACTGCCCTTGTCAGAAGACTAAATCACTGTATTGATTCTGGAATGCTTTTTATTCTCATTTGGGGATGCAGGGCAGATCTAGCCTGTTAATGATGTGAACCATTTAAACAATGCTGATACTAATCATGAATGTTTGTGAAACACTTCGGCTAGAAACATGTATTTGTACCTACGATTTGTCTGACCCATTTAATCCGAGTGTTTTTACGTTGGGTTTAAGTTGTTATATATTGAACTGCAGTGACTTTCCCTGGGAGCAGGAGGGAACCACCAGGCTTTGAATGCCGAAGCTGCCTGTTTTTGCTAAGATGAAAGAAGTTGAGATATTCTATAAGCAAGTGGGTCCTTTTTTTTCTTTAAAAGAAAAAGGTTGAAGATCTACCGTCATTTTCCTCCATTCTTTCAAAAAAAAATTCCCAAATATATTAAATGAATCCGATGTTAATGGACCATCCTAAATTTTGGGCTCAGTAAACCTTTACCTTGAATTTTTTTTTATTTTTTTATTTTGAAATACTTGAGCTTGAATTTATTCCTAGGAGTTTTACTTTCGCTATCCAACACTTACCAGCAGTGAGTTGATTGGTGGACAACTAGGAAACAATCCTATGTATCAAGAATTCGCGAGACAATTACCGTAATATCATCTCGCTTTCCACCAATATGACTTTTTCCAGCCATCATAGAAGCAAGCATGAATGGCGTGACAGCTTCTCCATCCATGGAAATATGGTAAGCCTGTTGAGCCACGGACCAAGCAATCTCCTCTGGATGTAAACCTCGTTCAATCCCTGTTGCTGCAGCCTCCAATATCTGACTTTCAGACAAGTTGTCAAATAGTCCATCAGTTCCAGCTATAATAACATCTCCTGGTTCTACAGCAAGCTTGATTACCTGAGTGGGAGGAATAATTGAAAAGATCGTAAACTTGACATAATATTACGAGATAAATGTAAACCGATTGTAAATTTCAGGTAACAGGCAATTTACTTTACCTGTGCCTGCCAGGGTTGATTGGAATTCACGGAATTTCCCAGCTGATATGGAAAATTGAAAGAGTGCTGCTGAATTGGCGATTGGTATATAACTGCACCTTGACTGATCAGCATAAACCCGCTATCTCCCATATTAACAGCATGCAACATCTATTACAAGGGGAAAAAAAGAAGATTCATTATTTTGCAAGCTTAAATTCGAGCTAATAACAAATTAATATGATTACTGCCAAAAAACAGAGATTAAAAGAAAAAGGAACACACGTTGTCTTCCTGAAGGGTTATGATGCAGGCTGTTGATGATCCTTCAGCGCTGGTCTTGCTGAAAGCCTCATCCAAAACCTTCATTGGATCCACCTGCCTCTCTGGCTGTGTCAGGATAGCGAGAAGAGAATTATTCATAAGTTCTCTGGCATATACTCCAGCATCAACACCCTGGCGGCTCCAACCACCTACCCCGTCTGCCAGTCCAATTGTCTGCTTCTCTTCACAGATAAAATGACTGTCATCACCCTGCGGCCTTGAATCTCTATCTTTGGCTATGTAAAATGATCCAGAGAGCATCATCAAGTTTCCCTTTTGAATACCAACCCTAAAACCCAAAAAATAATGGAACCAAAGACTCTGAGCACATAATGCAGTTGCTTTTTCCCCATCATTATTGAACACAGAAAATCTTGGTGATTTGTTAACAGATGGGCCTACCCTTTTTTGTCCCCTTTTGGATTCTTCGATGATTAAATAAATAGCTTCAAATTCAAAGCTTTGAGTTGAGCCCATAAGCTTAAACTTGTTAAAGTTCTTTTAATCTCTCAACACGTTACACGGCCAACTTTGTCAAACCACATTGCGTATGCCCCTTGGAATTTTTTTTTATCCCATGTACCCCTTGGAATTAGTTCTTAGGCTTAGATCATGGAATTTCCGATATGTAAAAGCAGTCTTTTTTTCTTTTGGAAATTGTCAAGTAATTCCTAGGAATGTGAAAACTATTTAAACATAAATTTCAATATATTAAATAATTAAAATGCGTTTGATTAGGAGAAATTTTTAAATTTTTTTTTAAAATCTTAATGATGATATTTATCTATTATGTTTGATTTAGAGTAATTTGATTACGAAAAAAAAAATCAAATTTTTATCAATATCTAAAATTTTGAAATTAAAAATTCATGGGAAAAGTAAATTTTTAAATTTGATTTAAATAAAAATTTTATCACATATCCGTTATTCTTTTGAAACATAAGTCTAAAACTCAATTTTAGCTTTTTCTTTTAATTTACCTTATTTTTAATTCAATTTTAATATGTAATAATTAAAAGGTTTTCTTTGAACAAATAACTTATTTGATACTTTTTTTGCAATCATTATAAAAATATCAAATAAGATATTTCTTTAAACAAACGTCTTATTTGACACATTCAAATAAGACATTTTTTTTTACGTCTTATTTAATAAATAATCTTCCAAAATCTTTTACAATTTCAAATAAAGCGTTTCCTTTAAATAAACGTCTTATTTGATTTTTTTTTCAACATATTTACAAAAAAATAATGCATTCAGCTCTTCTAAACATCATAATTGATATTTTTTATAATTTAATATAGTAATTATAGCTTGATATCTAGTTAAACATTGTAATTATGTATATTTAATTAAAAAAATAAACTTTTTTTTTTTTATTGTTAGATATATCATTTGTCGTTTGTGTTTTTTTTTTAATTAAATCAAAATAAAGGCTGTCTATAACTTATTAAGAAAATTATGATAATTATATATGAATTAATTAATAAACTAATATTCTCCTAACTAAGTGAATCTAATTACATGATACCTTGAAAATTAAATAAAATTTTGAATATCAAATATTTTCAGATATCACATTTTTCTTAGAAATTTAAGATTCTACGTACTAAATGTCCCTTAAAATCAATCATGAACGTGAATTCAAAGAGGGAGAGAGATTCAAAATCAAACCATACAAAGACGGATGTAAATAAATTTATAGGTGTTTATGTACAACTCAAAAATTAAAAAATAAAAAAATTTAAAAGGAAATTTTTATTAGACATTTAAAAAATTTTTTGGACACCTTAAAAATTAAAAATAAGAAAATTTAAAGAAAAGTTTTTTTAGATATTTTATTCATTGATAAAATTAATAAATCGTCAACAGTATTTTATATATTATAAATATATAAGACTGAAAAAAAATTCTGAATTCGGCGCTAATATCACTATCAAACCATGGCTTCTTCATAATTTGAATGTCTATCAAAAGATTTAAAAATAGGTTACTGGCAAGCCGAGGGATTTAAAGTGAAGAATAGCAGTAAAAGAAATCCAATTATAAATCACTTTTGTTTTTCCTCGGGTCAGGACTTGGTTACAAAATTAAAGAGAGTTAAGGAGCTAAGAGCGTAATTAATAGTAGTGTAGTATGAGTTATGTGTTATTTTCAGATTCCAAGTTGATTTAAAAAAAAAAAAAACCCATTGTCCCAGCTAGCGAGGCTCCCAGCATATATAGGATTAACCTGTAAATAACAAAAAGCCGCTTTAGTTAGACAAGGATTCAGTCATAAAATACATTTTTAGATGCGATGGAAGCAGTAAAATACTGATCAAGATTAACAGCCATAGTTTCATAATTGATCTAATTACCAATTAGATTAAAGTATCATTAATTGATAATTATCATATCACAAGAAAGTGAGGAAAGTGAAGACAAGGGGAAAGTATAGGGGTTCTTTTTTCTGGAGGAAGTATGCTTGGGTTTAAAAGGAGTTATTGAAGACTATTATTAGTATTAAAAAAAAAAGTTCAGGTAAAAATTGAACTATATATGTTGGGCAAAACCCAATCAAGGCTGCATATCAAGTTATCAACAGTACTTAGAATTCCCCCATTTGACACACATTAGCATCGGCTTTTAAATTTTAATTAATTATTATAGCATTGTATGTACAAGATGCTTAAGCTACTAAGCTTTTTAACATGAGATAAAAGGCTGCATGAAACAAGTTTTCTAGCATACAACCAGATACAAGAGGTAGAAATCTAGCTATGGTACATTGTTATTATCTGTGGGAACCTTGAACACATTTGACAATGCTGGCTTCCAGCCCACCACCCAAGAGCTCTTGCTCCGCCTTGGCGATCGAGTAGCTGAGCTTGCAGCCATTCTCATCTTCTCGATCAAGGCCTCAGTGTTCACTTGTTCTGACAAAATATCCTCCAGTTGCTGACTGTTAATCACCAATTTCACTTTCCAAACCCCATTCTTCTGCGATGGCAGCACTTCCAGAGCCGATCCACTCGACAAATTCTCAACAAAATCCGCGAATGACTTGTTTGGTTGTTCAATCTGAGTCATACAATCCGCTTCAACTTTCTCCACGGCTTCTTTGTTAACCTGTTTACTGACCCCAGAGTTACCAGACTTCTGAACCTTCTCCAGGGGGAGAAGATAGTAAAATCCCCCTTTAACCAAGTATTCGTCTTCAGGTAATGGAAATGAAGCTTGACCTCTTCTGCAAATAGCATACCCTGGAAAATTGTTTACAATCTCCCGGGCTAGTTTAGGGCCCTTGACATCAATGATTTCACCGGCATCTGTTAAAACCCTAATGGAGTTGCTGCAATCCCAAGTGACCCCTTTGAGAGTACAATTCCCCATTGACAAATTTTTCTTAAGCCTTCACATTCACAGGGCAGCAACTTGTATTTAAAACTTGGAATCTTGGCAAAAACTAGTGGAAAGAAAATGGGGGGAAGGTGTCAGAAGAGACAATTTCAGTGGTGTTGTTTTCAAAATTTTGATCGGCGCCATGTGATACTAGACCGTTGGCAGGATTATTTAAGTGAAATTCGAGTTTTGTACAACATGGAAGGCCAAAAGAATAGAAAATAGATTAAACAATAATTAGGTAAACAACATTTCAGAAGCAGATCGATTCAAATTAACGGTGGAGGGGGTGTGAATTTTTTATACGTAATATCGATGAAGATTGAACCTTATCTACTAAAATTATAAGTTTAACATTTTATCAATAAATCAAACAATTATTATCTGGATATGCATTTTTACTTTACTTGGATTCGTTTCTAATTTCTTAGGCATCTGAAATTTAAGGCAAATTTTGGGATCTTTCCTATCAATTATATTTGCCTCAACCAGAAAGGGACAAAATTTTCACAAATTTTAGTGCTTTTTAAAGTTGCCTATTGGTTGGGTCATGTACCGAAGCAAGCGAAAGAGATTAGTTTGTTCACGGGAAAATTTTGTCAGTTAGGCAAGAATTTCTATTTAGTCTATTGGTTAAGGATAATATAGGTTAGCTCGACGGCCTATATATTGAGTCTGATTCAATGTACTAAAAGCCATCAGCAGGGCTTAATCTCGTGAATGAACATATGGGGAACATGGTTGGCTTTTTGCTAATACTAGTACGATACGAGCATATTTTATGCAGGCAAACTGACAAAGGCACAGGATGGCCCCTTAAGCGGCTGATGAGCCAAAACTCCGATTGACATTTTCTATAACTGTAGACCCCAAGTTGAATTCTGTTAAAATCTGGACTGGCTCATTCATGTTGAGTGAATGGGTTAGGGCAGAACCGGAGATATCCAAATTTTAGTAATAGGATTGTGATGATAAATGGTTTTCAGTGGAGGGATGTGTAAATTTGAATGCTTTTATTCGATTTCTTGAGATGCAAATTTGACTTAAAAAGAATATTTAATTTTGTGAGCTGATATGGGATAGCAACCTGAAATACACTTGCAAAAAGTTTGTTAACCAGTCATCATTCAATTCATGTTCTTTTTTTCTTTTGGACTCAAAATTTTGTACATCATTTATCTAAACCTCCATAAATATAAACTAATATTTGCTTCATATGAAGAGAATATGTGTTTCAGCCACCCTGACCGATGCCTCCTAGATAGAAATCCGCCATCCCCACCACTGAGTTCAAAAAACCCGGAGCCGAGAGTTTCAAATCAGTCACCAGGGTTCAAGTCAGTGAAAGATTATTCATGGTTAGGGACAGGGAAAAGAGGCCAACTGTCTGAAAAAGATCTTCTTAACAAAAGAAATTAGTATGAAAAATATCTTCTTAAGAAAAGAAATTAGTAAAATGTGACAACAAAAATGTTTATAAAGGGCCCAACCGGATTCGAACCGGTGACCACTTGATCTGCAGTCAAATGCTCTACCACTGAGCTATGGACCCTTCAATGTGTGAAGATTGAAAATTTAATTTAATTATAGTTTGATGACGTACTTAGAGAGCATTCCATTTCTGACCAATTTCACATGAAATAATCAACATTGAACAAAAAAAAAAAAGTTTTGTGGGTAAGATCAAAAGAGGACAACTTAGGATAGTCAACATCTGTCCTGCGACAATTTGGCATAAAAGTATTACCGCCCTTGATTGAAGGAGTAATCTAATAGGTTGCAGTGGGTAAATTTTTGGTTGAGAAAGATAGGGCAACTTCCCGGGCCTTGGATTTTTCGAGTTCTACCTTCTACGGCTGATAGCCTAACCACCCATTAGATAAAATGTATATCCTCTTGGGCGGTGTGATACAAGTTTTTGATTGGGTATTCCTTATTCCCCATTCCCCACTCACCTTGCCTGCTGGCTTCTTTGACTGCACAAACGCTGTATAGAAGAAAGCTACGCTCAAGTTTGTGGGCCACAGAAGTTGGTGCATCATTAAACCAAATCATGTGAACTAGCTTAAAGTTCATGAACTTTTTCCTTATTGTTGTGACATACAGATCACTAAACCTATCTGCTTGTAGATTTAATTAGTTTGTTGTAGTCAATTTGTTCTTGATTTACATATTATTAGGCAATCCAGTGTCATGACTTGATCTGCAATTACAGAAACATCAATTGGTTTTCTCATTTTCTGGGATTAAACTTCTTCTCTAACATCCGTGCAGTGATACATTTTCCAGGAGCTTGAGCATTGAGAGTTGAAGTCATTTAAATCATCATTCATTTCCAGAGCTCTTACTTCAAATAACTTGTATTGTGGTCACTGCCCAACAGGCAAATGGGGGAAAGAAAATGTAATTCTAGTTTTAGATTCATGGAACCAGACTGCTAATAGAACACAACTTAAATTATATATAAAAAAAATCACACAAGCAACGTTGATGCTTATCATTAGTTTTAAGTACGATTTATGTATAACCCAAACCGAACAACAAAAAAGAAAAAAAGGGCAATCATAGTCATAGCAAGCCTGTGAACAAAACGTTATACATCTCACAAAATTCCATTCACCCCCCAGATGCTACGGTCTTAAATTCCCAATATACCCTCTATTTCTCTAATTATTCTTCGAGGTGTCCTCTCTTCATTATCTTGTGTATTTGTATCTATAAGCCTTTGTGGTATGTTCCTCATGGCGTTTGTTCAGCAAATATATCCAATAGAGAGAGTGCCTGCAAAATTTTACAGAAGAAATTAAGATCAGAACCAAGTAGGCTAGGTAGGAAAATTTCATGGTTAGCATCACATGTTAAGTGTGAAATTTCACCTCTGGCACGTTCAGTTCAAGGCGGAACTTTGGACCATCATAGTGGTGAAGAATTGGCCTGAAGGAGTCCTCTTCAAGTGGCTCACAAATTTTCCTTGTAAGAACCCGAACCTGCAGTGGAACAAAAGCATTTTAGTATTGCTTTTTATCATTTTCTTTCCTTTTTATTTTTGTTTGCTTGAAAGATATTGAAAGCATCATATTACTTTGCCTAACCAACAGTAACAAATAATTCCTCAACAAATACCTGTGCAGGGAATCGTGATTCACCAGGGCATTTCTTGTCCTCCCAGGCTGTTGGATCAATGTTTGTTCCTCCAAAGCTTGCAGCCTAAATAGTTAAAACATTACCAAACCCCGGATTTGGTTAGTACCAAGTAAATTGAATTAATCACATATATTGACAGAAGATTTTAATCATTAATGAAAATAGAAATACAAACCTCAAATATTCCATGGAGTTGGTGGGTGGAGTAGTTGTAGAGGAAAAGAGGCAGGCCAGGAGTAATCGCCCGGACTGAATCTCGGTAACGAGGAGGCAAACCTACAAATAATGCATAACAAGAAGTTAGGAATATAAACCAACATAAATATCACATCAAAAGTTTCCATAAAAACTAACCCAATTGTTCAATTAATCTAATTGATTTACTTTCCATTTCTAGAGAAGAGGGTAAAATTGGCCTAATCTTCTCCAAATAATTAAATGAAAATCAAAATTGAAAACCAAACCAAATCAAACCAGACTTTCTTAAAAAAAACAAAAAGTAATATACGGAAAGAGAGAGCTAAAGACATACCAAAGAGCTGTCTCCTGAGATTCTCCTGCATGGTATCGTTGTTGCAAACAAAGATGTAGCCTCCAACCGTTTCATTCCTAGGCAAAGACTCAGATGGTGGCAGTGTCTTAAACCTCTTGTCAACAGCACTCTTCCCATCCTTGTTTTCACCGTTATTGTTGTTATTATTGTCGCTGTTATGGTTATTGTTCTTCTTGTTACTGCTCTTCTTCCCACTTTTGCTTCCGTAATCATCCTCTCCTTTATTCTTATTCCCCTTCACAATAACATTATTGTTATTCACTGGCTTTGAATAAATCCCTTTGTTGAACCCTCCGTTGATTCCAACATTCTTCTGAGACCCCATCGGACCGATTGGACCGAACCCGATGTTGTTGCTACTGGCTTCAATTTTCCACCCATCATTGTTGAAAGAATTGAACTCGGTGATTTTTGGCTTCAAGTTGTCAACAAAATTCACTTCACCACCGACTCTGATATCAAAATTCCTCCTTTCATCAGGCCTCTTTGAAACATAACCGTTGCTCCATATCGAATCGTTAAGCGAAAGATTAGCCAAGTTCGAATTTTGGACCCTAAGTTGATCACTGAATTGCCAAAAGGATTGCTGGTTGTTCTCCATCCTCAACTCCGATTCCCTTTCAAAACCTTCAAAGAAACAAGAAAACTGGGATCTGGGTATCAAAGATGAATTGATTTCCCTATCTGGGTAGTACAAATATGTAGAGTTTAATCGATGTAGGTATAAACTGGTATGGTTTCTAAAGATGGTTTAAAACAGGGGAAAAGAAAACAGAGGCAAAAACACAGGAAGTGAGGGCAAAAGAAAATGTTTTTGATGAGAGAGGAAAGTAGGTAAAGAGGGGAGCGTTTAATAAGGGAGATTTGATTGAGGGCAAATTTAGAAATTTTGTATTGGGTTGGGGAGAAGGGGCGATTAATAAGATTGCGTGTGAACTTGTCAAAGTGGAAAGTTACATTGATAGAAGAATGTCAATAACTAAAAGTCTTAATTTTATTTTATCAACAAAATTTAAAAATTATCACATATTTTATTAAAGTATATTAAAATCAATTAATGAATTAATATTATAAATATAAACTAGTTTTCAACCCGCGCGTTATTGGGATTGTTAGTTTTATTTTTATTTATGATACGCTGTTATATAATATTACTAACATAATGAAATTATTTAAATTTTAAGCATTTATATAAATGTTTAAATGTCATAGTAAGAAGTTTATAAATTTTTTTTCAATTATCATTCATAAACTAATTCAATTCATATTTACAATTTCTTATGAGCAAATGAAATTATAAATAACATTGAACGATAGAACTAATTTTTTTTAAACAATGAATCGAGAATGGTAAAATTTAGAAAATTTCCTTCAATCTCAAACCCTTAAAGCAATCATCTGCAGTTCAGTTTGGTATTGATTTGAGCAATGATTTTTTATGGTTGTTGTTCTTTTTTGCAAATGAGGGTAAAAAGAGTGATGGATTTTTAAAACAACAAAAAAACATAAATATATAAATAGCATTAAACGAAGGAAATTGGATATAATTTTTTTTTTTAACAATGAATTGAGAATTGTAAAATTTAGTAAGTTTCCCTCTAATCTCAAACACTTTAAAAAAAAAAAATCTGCTGCACTTCTATACTTTTGTTTGGAATTTATCTAAACAATGATTGTGGAAGGTTACTGTTTCTTCCTAGAAATGATGATTAGAGAAGCAATGAGATTTTAAGCAGCAATGAAACAGAGTTTTTTTTTTTTGCATGAGTATTAAATATATAAAGGAAAATATGTTTTTTTAGCTTAAAAAATAATAAAAAATAATTTAAAAAAATCCATGAGATAAAAACAATTAATTATGTATAAAATTGAATTTCGGGTTATTTTCACGTCCTTTTTCAAATCCGATGACAAATTTTCCTTCTAATTTTTTGCTTTTGAAAAAATTGTACTCGAGAGTGATGACGCAAAAAACGCGGTTTGACGTGGCAGAAGAAGGGAGGACAAAGGACTGAGGAGGGTAGGGCTTCTAGAAGGTCTTCTAGTAGGTTCTTTGATGGTTGGCCAGTTCTTTTTAGTTCACATTCACCTAAGGTCCCCTAAGCTGCTAAGCCTTAGGTGTCTGAGGCTTGAAAAAGGCCTTTTTTTATTGACAGACGCGCTACTTCAAACACTGTTTCATTTTTTAAGGTTTTTTCTTTTTGGGGGGGGGGGGGTTGGGGGCAAAGTTTGTGGGCCTGCTTAAGGCCTGGGTGGCCCAATTTGTGAAATTGATTTGCAACTTTACAAATAATAATAATAATAATAATAATAATAATAATAATAATAAAGGGCTTTACACCTGAACTTAACAAGCAAACAAGGAAATGAAAGTGGTTATGTTTTAAAAAAAGTTATATATACATATATATAATTAATTTTTTCTTACATCAAAATTTTAATCTAATAAATATATTTTTTATTTTTCCAAAATATCATCATAAAACAATTGTATAAACTATATATATATATCTCTCTCTCTTATTTGTATCATATTATTTTTTTATTATAATATGATTAAAAAAATTTAATTTTTTTTTCAAACAATTTTTAAGATGCACTTTCTCCAAATTAATTTGATGCATTTAAAATTTTTATTCTCAAAATACTTGTCAGTATGAATCAAAGACCGACCTTGGTTTACAAAAAATATGTATCTCCTACCTTTTATCAATTGAATTAACTTTTGTGGATATGAAAGTAATTAGGCAATTTTATTGTAGCATAACTTAAAATCTTGAAAAAAAAATTAAATATTAGGTTATCATGATATTATAGCAGTCTTTTTCTATGAAGATATTACAGTTTTAAATAAGTATGAAAAGACATAACATTGGTAATGAATATAATAAATTCAATTAAAAGATCTCATCTCACGCCATCATTTTCGACCATAAAAAATGTGGAAATTCTTGGTCCTGCTTCTTCAAGGTTTATTAATTGTAAGATCTTGACTTCGAACAAGAGACTTGGCAACAAGAAAAAAAAAAAAAAGAAAATCACCCATTCAATGTTCAAACTCGTACTACATTTATAATATATATGATGATATGTTGAATGGTACAAAATTAACGCATGGACATAAAAAAAATCATAAAAGAATCAGGCTTACTCATGTATCCTATGATTTGATTCTAAATTTTCAACTATCTTAGGTCTTATTTGGCATTGAACTGGAAGAAGGTAACTGTATTTCGATCTTACCTCATTGCCAAATATTTTATTGTTTTAATTTTGATTTTGATTTTCAGACACAATAGTTTTTTTTGCATTTTTAAAATATGTTTTTAATTAAAATACTTTTTTATCTTTAAGTTTTTATCATTTCATTCGCATTTCAGTTCGTCTAATACGTTTTTTAAGCAATATCAAATAATTAAAATTCTTTAATCACAGTTTTTTTTTCTACAATTTCAAATGCATATTTTTTAATCAAACTTTTTTAACTATAAGAACAATGTTAAATTAGATTTTGGTATGACCAGTAATCTAACGTTGGTGCCGACTTGATCAACTCCACCTAGGGTGCTTTCACTTTCCATTGTATTTTATTTTACGTTAAAAAGGAACTCCGTTGCTTTACACTCCGTTGAACACCAAAATAAAAAATATAAAAAAAAAAAGAGTGGATAAAACTTAGACATGTCCTTTGATAACGTTTTTGAAGCCTAAGCTTCACTTGATTTGATTGAGATAATATTTAATTAATAAAAATGTTTTTATTTATTTTAATTTTAAAATATATTTTAAAATATTAAAATATTTTTATATGACTTTAAAATTTTTTTAATTTATTAAAGTTGTCTGTTCTTAAACAAAGATTTTAACAATCCGTAAACACTTTTATACCTAAAAATTTTAGGTACATAAATTTTAAAAAATTTTTGAAGGGAAATATTGTCTCTGTGTTGAGAATCTAAACATCCACAATTAAATATTACATTTATATTATATAATAAATTAAGACGTAACCTTATGGTGAATAGCAACTTCAACTTTTCATTAAATTACAATTATAAATAATTATTACATTCACAAAGTTTTCAATTGCTTAATTTAATGATAAAATAAATCTTAAGAAAACATAAAATTAGGGTTCGACTCCACCCTTCTCTCTTCCTTTTGATGTAAGATTCTGTCCGTTGAAATTAAAAAAAAAATTACATTCACAATAAATAGTAGCTGAATATTTCTAATTTGTGATTATCCCATTCTCTCAATCGCCGCTAACTCTTAATTAATAAATGTAAAGCAATAACTTATGGTGGATAATTAAGTATTCCACCATTATTATCATATTAATTAAGTTCTCAGACGTAATTATTATTATCATTTTCATGAAAGCAAATCACATTTTACATTCTCAAAACACATGTTCATCTCTCTTTCATCCGCCTTCATCTTAATTATTATATTATTATTTTCATTAAATTAAAGTCAATGAAAATATTATATATATATATAAAAGATTATTTAATATTCAAAGTTTTTAATTTTCATTAACAAAATAAAAAATTATTTTTTATTATCATAATTACACTCATAATTAAATATTACATTTATATATATTTAATATATATATATATATATATAAATTGAATGACTAAAGTTAAAGGCTTAAAATTTAAATATATTATCAAATTTTAGTAAAAAATAGAATTAAGCTATTGACCTTTTATTATGTGTAAATAAAACTATTTTTATTTGTTTGTAATTATAACCATAAACTTTTAAAAATCAAAGAAAAAGTTCAATTGGAATAACAAAAACTTAATATTTGTTATCTAACAGACTAGAACTGTTGATAAACACATGAGAAATCATTATTAATCTTTCTTTATTTCAATTAAATTTTTTTATAGAATAACTTAAATTATAAAACAATTTACAACTTGTTCTAATTGGACTTTTTAATTTAATTTTAAAAGTTTATAATTATATTTACAAAATAATAAAAAAATTATAATTTTATTTGCACGTAATGAAAATATCATAGTTTTAATTTCATTTTTTACTAAAATTTGAGACCATATTTTTGTATTAAGTCAAAATTAAATTAGAGAAATGAATTAAATTTGTTCATACATGAGGAAAAGCCTACCCCATTGGCACCTCGTAACATTTTGATCGAAGACTCGAAGTGCACATAATTTGGTTTCGTCTGATTCATTTCCATTGAGAAAGTTACGTCTTTACCTAAAAATATTATTGCTCCAACTTGTGGGGAACTCTACAGGAGAGAATTATAAAAAAAAAAGGTATTAAGGAAAAAACAGTTAGAAATTCCCATAGATTTATGCAAGGTAGGTGAAACTGCAAATTCAACAAGCGTAAGGCACTTATATTTAGATCTAATTATTTGTATATTTATATTGTATAAAATATTAATAATTTATAAATTTATGTTATATTTTATATAAAATTATATATTATAATTTGTGTCAATATAAAAAAATATAAATTATATTTTTTAATTATTGTTAAATTTATATATTTTTTATTAAAATTTTAATCTTATATTATATTATTTTTATATTATTTTCTTATAATATTTTCATTTCATATTTTAAATTATTAGATTTACCTACTACAACACAAAGCTCGGATGATGAAAAGAAGGCAGGGGGCTTCGACTACAGTCAGCGACTACAGTTGTACATGCTCTCAATGGCCGAGCCTATGTGCTTCCAAGAAATCATTCCTCTCAATCGACTCAGCCAATATTCATTTATGAGTTGATATGTGCTGTCAACTTCATATATAACTCGTTGATTAAAACATAACGATCCAATGTTCATTTACCGAAAAACTAGGCAGTCACAGGCAATAAAACATCGACCAAAGCAATGTTGGCATTGATGAACTGGCCAATATGATTCAAGGGGTTGTTTCGGGGTAGTTAAGCGGCTAAATCAACATGAACAAATATCTCATACGTTTCTCTTTGATCCTATCGCCAATTTTCTTGTTTCATGCATATAATAAGCTTAGTAGCGGATTCTACAACCATAAAGTTTTGACGAGCAAAGCCAAGCTTTCTCTTTGTTTTAACTCCTTCTCCTTTCACTGACAGCCCAAAGTCGCTCTCTCTCTCTCTCTCTCTCAATCTCCTCAGCCTTTTTTTTAATTTATTTCTTTTTATTTCTCATATATCTATCAAATCACAGAACCTGCGATTAAGAGAGTTGGAGAGAAACAGGAAGAGAGAGGTAGAGCCATGGCAGGCATTGCTACCGCTGCTTGTTCTTCAGGGTTGCTGTTTAGAAATAGAGATGCGGGAGGCAATGGGCCTTTTCTGGCTCAGTACAATGGGCTTAGAGCTGTGGAGAGCGTGCAGTTAGCTTCAGCTGGGACTAAACCAAACCAGTTCATTTCTAGTTCAGGTATTTGGTTTTCGGTTATTGATTTATATTTGTTTCTTTGATACATATCCATACTCAGCTAACAGGGTATATAACAAAGCTAGGGATAATACTAATATTTCTATTTTTTTTAGAAAAAAAATGTGGGTAAGGAATAAGTGTGAGCTAAGTTGATTCTTGTAGATATCTTGAAGAGGTGTTCTCTAATAAATTTGGATTTTAATTTCAACATTTGTAATTTTTTTTATTTATCTAATTAATTTGAATTTAAAATTTAACACCTGTAATTTTTTTTTTCATTCTTAGACCATGGCTTTCTTTGTATAAAAAAAGTAATAAATATCAAAATCCTAGTTTTAAGTTGTTTAATTTTGTTCGAAATTTATGTCTTGCTTACGTTTAATGAGAATGGTGGCTCTGGATCAAATTAAAATTGAAATGCTGCTAATATTGATATGGAATTGGTTTTTTTTTTAGTTTTTCAGTAGTTTTCCTTTTCATTCCTTTGTCTGTGCACCTAATAGGATAGTAATTTCTTTTAGGTTCTTGTTAGCCAGTCGTTTAAGTAGTACCAGTCATTTTTTTCAATATGTCAATCACAAACACACAAAAAGGGGATTTAACTTGTCTTATATAAACATGGAGTCATCTGTTTCTATGATCTTTCACCAAACTTCTTAGCATTGTACTATTTTTCTCGCATGAGATGTAGCAATGTGACACCCTGCACTCGCTTTTCTATGATATCTTATGATACATTCTTGCACTAACTAATAGTAATTCCACAAATATGTTTTTCTTACGGCGATCATTTTTGTCCTAATTATTGGGTACTAATTGAGTCTCTTTTTCTCAGCTCCGAGACGCAGAACAATCAGGGCTATGGCATCGCCAACTATCTCAGCTCCCAAAAGAGAAAAAGATCCGAAAAAACGAATAGTTATAACAGGAATGGGCCTTGTGTCAGTTTTTGGAAGTGATATTGATAACTTCTATAACAAACTTCTTGAGGGGATGAGTGGTATCACAGAAATAGATAGGTTTGATGCTTCAAATTATTCTGTCCGGTTTGCGGGTCAAATTCGTGAGCTTTCGTCTAAAGGATACATTGATGGGAAGAATGACCGCCGTCTTGATGATTGCTGGAGGTACTGCTTAGTTGCTGGAAGAAGGGCCCTCGAGGATGCCAACCTTGGTTCTGAGGTCCTTGACAGAGTAAGTCTTGTATTTTGCAAAATGTAGTAGTATTAGATTAGACAAGAAAGAACTAATAGAACCCCTCTGTTCTTCTTATGCATCACAGATGGACAAAACTAGAATTGGGGTGCTGGTGGGTACTGGCATGGGAGGCCTAACAGCTTTCACCAATGGAGTGGAATCTCTTATTCAAAAGGGATACAAGAAGGTCACTCCATTTTTTATCCCTTACTCTATCACCAACATGGGATCAGCATTATTAGCTATAGATACTGGCTTAATGGGACCTAATTATTCCATTTCAACTGCTTGTGCAACTGCAAATTACTGCTTTTATTCTGCTGCAAATCACATCAGAAGAGGTGAAGCCGACATCATGGTAGCTGGTGGTACTGAGGCTGCTATCATGCCAACTGGGGTTAGTGGGTTTATAGCTTGTCGGGCATTGTCTCAAAGAAATGACGAGCCCAAGAGGGCTTCAAGACCCTGGGACAAAGATCGTGATGGTTTCGTTATGGGAGAAGGCTCTGGTGTACTGGTAATACAATAAGTTAATGACATTACTCCTCCGTTTTGAGTTTAGTTAATGACATTACTCCTTCGCTTTGAGTTTAGTTGTGTAGGTACTTGGTATCCCTACAACTTATGAATTAGCTCATTTTTACATAATTCTTCCTTGCATATAGATTATGGAGAGCTTGGAGCATGCCATGAAAAGAGGAGCAAACATAATTGCAGAATACTTGGGAGGTGGTGTAACTTGCGATGCTTATCATATGACTAACCCGCGGTCTGATGGTCTTGGAGTTTCATCTTGCATAACCAAAAGTTTAGAAGATGCTGGAGTTTCCCCTGAAGAGGCAAGAGCACTCACTTAACTACTCTTGACAGTTGATAATTGACAATGAGGAAACCTGAACAATTTCTAATATAAACATGGCAAAACCCTTGATCTACAGGTGAACTATGTAAATGCTCATGCAACATCAACACTGGCAGGAGATTTGGCTGAGGTTAACGCAATTAAAAAGGTCTTTAAGGACACTTCTGAGTTAAAGATGAATGGGACAAAGGCGAGAAAAACATACATTACCTTGTTCTTTTTCTTTTTAATTCCATGGAACATGAGCTTCAAATCACATGCACAAAGAATCAAATTAATGATATTTCACTCATAACAATATCTCATTAGTCAATATCAAAATTTTTAATGAGAACTTATTTACCTGATCACATGGCAACAGAACCTTAAGGCTAACTACTGAAAAATTTGTTCTGTTTCTCCTTTCAGTCAATGATTGGACATGGCCTTGGAGCTGCTGGTGGATTGGAAGCCATAGCAACCATAAAAGCAATCACAACTGGCTGGCTGCATCCTACGATTAACCAAGATGTATTCCCACAACCCTTGTTTATATATATTTGGAAACTCCACTTAACTCTGTCAAATTGGACATTTCATTTAAAAGAAAAATTATGGAACATTTTTTTCTATTTATATAGTTAGCTTATTAATCAAGTGAACCTATTTCAAACCAAAAAATATTCCTTTTATTTAATCCTATGGTGTACAAATGATTTCATGTCCTTGTATCATCTCTTCCTATGTAGAACTTGGAGCCTGATGTAACAATTGATACTGTTCCCAACGTGAAGAAACAGCATGAAGTCAATGTTGGTATGCATTTTAACTCTCCAACTCTACAAAAATTTATGTCATTGCAAAAAGGAAGAGGTCAATGTTTTCAGATCACTAGCCACGAAAATGAATATTTGGTATATACCATTGACCATTGCAGCAGTAATTGATCAAATTTTCTTTTTGATCGGTCTGCAGCTATCTCTAATTCATTTGGCTTTGGTGGACACAATTCAGTGGTGGTTTTTGCTCCCTTCAAACCATAAAAGAAACTTTTTTTTTTCTGTTTCAACTTTTGCTTCCCTCAAATACATCTTTGATTTTTGGATCTTGGAACTTCCAGAAACTTGATAAAATATCAGGCGAGTGTGTCAGAAGCATTTTCTTCGAGCAACTTGAAGATATTGCAGGCCCTTTTCATGTTATTGTAACTGCAATCCATGAGAATGGATTTGGTACTTTTTTTTGTTCAATAAAATAACATGTCATTCCTTTATATTTTCGTCCTTTATTGATGGACTCATTCCTCCGCTGCTAACAATAATACTTGATTGTTTTTGTGTTTTGAGTTGAAGCAATAACGAAGGAATTTAATCACTGTCAACCATCCCCAGAGCCAGTTAACCAAAATCTCTTGTATTCTTCAGGAAAAGATACTATTTGATTAGATTAATCTTTTGCCTAACAAATTCATATATATTCTGACTGATTCAAGCTAAATGCTGCAACCGGGAACCAAAATTCATTTAAAGGGATTTCTTGGAAGTTGTATGACTCTGTGGTCTCTTTTACTTGGTTCTTCCATAAAACAAACTTTTTAGCCTTGTTCTTCTGGGATCTTTCACTGCCTCCTGACTCACTTTCTACTTTAATTCTGATCCCTAAACTGTTTTCCTTTAATCATGACTTAGAATTTTTATTAAAATGAAACATCAATGACTTTGATTTTATTTGTTAAATGACAGAAAGCTCAATCCATTCAAGAGGAGTAAGATTCATTTGATCTATCTAATTACCTTTGACACATCAATCTCTGCAACTTGCTGGAGACAAATAATTAGACAAAGATTCTTTTCTTAGTTGAAAATCAATCCAATGAAAATATTCTAGCTTGGATGAAGTTGTTGTTTCCCCCTCAAGTTTCTATTTGTTGATAGTACTAAAAACTAGGTTATTATAATATTGCTTTTGAGCCGACATTAAAGTTAATAAACCCACTTGCTTGGTGCTGTTAACTGTTGTGGCTCATGAATCCGATGATGCACATTGCACATGGGCAACTTGATGTTGACAAGGAGAACTTAGCTAGCTGCTCTATTGTCCCTTGATCCTCCATTATTCGTGCTTTGCTGTGAACTATTACTTATTATATAAATTAAGACTAGGATTAGACCATCATTAGGCTAACTGCTCTTCCTTTTGGTACTTTTCTCATTTTTTTAAGTCTTTAATCTATTCCTAAACTCCTAACCCCTAGCCAATCTTCCAAGCGCCGCTGACACCGTGCCAGTCGAGCTAAACGCTCTTTGACGTCCTTTTCTCACGTTAGAAGCCCGTATTGTTAGGGTTGGAGGCTTGGAGCCAAAGGTAATATTTTGACCTTGACTATCACCATTAAGCAGCAATCAAAACCAGTCTATGTTAGAGTATAATCTTCATACAGCCTAACATCAAGCTTGATACATCCTTGTACAATAGCACTCTCCAGTGTATTTCTACTTAGATGCCGACTTCAATATACACGAGAACAATAATTTCATGTATTATACATAAATTATCGATTTAATTTATATTATTGGTTGGATTATGATTATAATTTTTACTTATGAATATTGTAATCTCATTAAAAAAACACACAATTTCCTATTGCAATGATTCCATTTTTTGTGCACTAACTTGTATGTTGATTACTCAAATGATTAGTACAAATTAAAACATTGAAACACCAAATGAAAGCATCTTATTATATACATAATATATTGCCACGTCTTATCCCAAATGTATAGTGTACAGTTCCACTGTTGGATTCCTCCTTGACCTAATGTGAAGCACTGAATTGGTAGCCAATAGGAATTCAATTTGGGGAATGAGAAAAGAAAAATAAAAGGCCAATGAAAGGGTAGCAACATGGAATTTGACTTCATTTTAGTGGTTACCGGTAAGGTATTTAGTTTGACCAATCTTTTGGGGTTTAAATGACTTGCTTTGTATCATGGAAAATGTTAGTCTGCGTTGAATGACACTGATTAAGATAATATTTTTAAAAAAAATTTATTATTAATATATTATCTTCTCTTAAATTTGACGAAAGCAATGTATTATTGCCAACAATCTAAAGAATAATTTGTTATTGCTACATATATTTTCCAACAACCTAGGTGTGCACGCGTATCCAATAATATCTTACCAAATGTCTTTAAAAATAAAGGCCATTTTTAACTTTTTTAACTACATATATATTTTTTTATAGAGAATCTCCACTTGAAATCTTAAACATAATTAGTTAGATCAAGTTTAATTAACCTATGGATTATATTTTGAATTAATATGTTATTAGAGTTAACATTTAAATATTATAAATTCAATAGAATTTAAGTGTATAACATTATTTTTAATTATGTATGTAATAGGATAAAAAAATTAAAGGATAAGTTATAAATAAGAAAAGTTTAATTAACCTTAAGCATACATAAAATTTTTTTTGTAGAGTACGGTTCTTTAATTATTATATTTTCAAATAAAACAATTAAATTAAAAATAAATATTAATTATGTTTTAAATCAATTAATATATAATTGAAGTTATCATTTAGAGGTTGTAGATTTGAAAAAATTTAGGTGCATAATTTTTGTTTAGTTAGATATGTAATAAAATAAAGGGTTTAACAATAAATAAAAAATTTAAAAAAAAATGAACCATACTACGATTTAATTGGGGAATATTGAAGGAAAAGTCCTCCAAAATGGCAGCTTTGGTCGGTTGAAACGGTTGAAGCAAAAGAAATAATTTACCAATCAGAAAAAACATCGAAAAGAATTTCGATATTATATTTAAATTAATTCCTTAAAAAAAATAAAACAAAACTATTCCACTTTTTAAAAATTTTAGTACAAAAGAAAAAAAAATGTAATATATAAATTACTGCTTTGTGTAAAGACAAAATTGTGAGACAATGTAAGGGCCCAGGTTAATGTGTCTGGAGTTTAACGGTAAGTTTCCACAGAGGATTATGTGTCGTTTCTTCCCTGTCCTAAAATGGTGGAAAAAAGTGATCAAAGTGCTAGAAGAGGAAGAAGAAGATACGACCAAAAAAAAAAAAGTGTTAGAAGAGGAAATAAACTAAGGATCCATAGGCAAACAAAAGCTTTAAGTTATCTGATCCGACGGTTGAGAAGCCCTTAATTTAGTCAAACAAAAAGTCAAAAGTGGTATTATCCAGGGGGACCAAAATTCCACTCTGCTTCTCACATTTGCTGGAAAGTTTAAATATAATTAAATTAAATTAAAATTAATAATGCTTACAAGGAAACAATTGTTGGTTTAGCCTGCACTCAAAAAGCTTTGAAAAAAGGATTTTCTTAACCCTCCATGATTGTCTTCACATGGATTCCACCCCAAAGTGCTTCATTCTTTAGTGATTTTTAAGGTATCCCACCTAAAAATTAAATTAAACCCTAATTACATCTCTTTTTTCTTTAGTATATAGAATTATTTCTCTTTATGGTACCCCACATTCACCAATGCACTATCCTAGATGGGCAGCTTCATCCTCGAGGGATGTGGTTTGAAACTTTCATCATCTCGTAGAATTTTTTTTTAAAAAATCGTAATTTAAAATTTAAAATTATTATTTTTTAAAAATAATTATATAAGTTAATGGAGCCAAAATTTTGAATTTAACCTTCTCCTTTCCTTCGATTTTTCTCTTTTTTTTTCTCTTGTTTTATTTCATTTCAATTTTTTTTTTTTTACAAAGGGTTGGTAATTTTGTGGGGTGATTGGTGAGGTGTAACCAACGAAAAGCAAAAAAACAAATAAAAATGGTGAGGTTATGATATTGATAATTTGGACTAGTTTAATGGTTCAATTATCCTCAATTTAATCTCACTAATTTGAAAGGGTTAAAGTTAAAAGTTTGATGAATTTTTTACTTTCTAGCAATAAAAAAGAAGGAAACAGTTAGGAAGTGTGGGAACAAAGGGGAAATTGGTCTCCACATGGGGGTGGGTGGGGATAGAAAATGACTAACCCCAGCAATCATACTTCTCTTCTCTTCTCTCTCTCTCTCTCTAGAAAATAGAGGATTTGAAGCCCAATCTCTCTCAGAGCTAACACATAAAATGACACTCTCAGACTGCCGGCAGCAGCCAGCCACCCCCCCCCCCCCCCCCACAAAAAAAAAAATTCAACCCTCTCTGCTCAGTCCAATAATATTCTTTTCCCTTGGGATTACAACTATATAGGATAACTATGCTATGCGGTGAATCTATGGCTTTACTTGCATAATTATAACAAAAAAAAAAGAGAGTGTTTTGATCTTAGTTCCAAAATCAAGATTTTGCTATTAATATGATAATTCTATTAATTCCTCCTAAAAAAAGTACTATTTTTTAATTTTTAATTTATTTTTAAATTTTTTTACCTTATTATTTATCTAACTGAAAAAAATATTACGTATATAAATTTTTTGAATTTATAACTTCTAAATATTAATTTTAATGACATGTCAATTAATAAAATAATAATCGATAAAAAAAAAAAAAAACTACTCCGTATCAATTGAACTAAACTCTTTTTTGGCATTTATAAATGGATTTTGTTTTATGCAATGGCTTAAGTGCACTTCCATCTAAGATCGATGTATTTTCTCATTGTCCTAATTCTCCATTACAATTTCTTAATAGAAGCTCTTCCAATCCAGCAGACGAGAGAAAAGAAAAAGTTTTTTTTTTTTTTTTTAAATTTTCAACACAAAAGGAGAATATCAACACTTCGAAAGGAGAAAGTATCACACACTTCCCATATATTTCATTGCCCTAAATAAAGCACATATATAGTAGTCCAAATTATATCATAAAATAGTAAGACAGGTGTCAAGCAACAAAGTTAAAGCTAAGCATAAGAAATCCAGCTTTGCTGCTTGCTTATTCGCAGGATACAGGCAAACATACACAAACCCTAATGGTCATTGGTTTGTCTTTATCTCTTGTCCATGTTCTCTAACAAAATGATTTAACCCCTAAACCAGCATGCTTATCCGTTAATTACTTAACAAATGATGTTGATGTGGACTCGATCAATCTAATTTAATTTGCATAACCTGAAATAATGTTTTGGATTTGAATCCTCACAAATTCTGTAACAGATTAATCGATTATACACACAATTACTCTAAGTTTGATTATTGTGACAATTAATTACATTAAATCTTTTATATAATTTTTTTTTTTACTTTAGTTCAAAATGAAATCCATATTCAGACATTTGACTCTAAAATTTTTAAAATTTTAACTTTAAATGATTATATATATATATGTGGTAATTGATTTAGAAGCCAAAGTGAGAGAATAAAAAACACATCTATTTCGAATATGAATTCAAATAAAATAAATTGTTGATAATTTTGATTCGAAGGAGTCATAATTCCATTGCGGTGGAAAAGATAATTTTTTTATTATTATCATTTTTAAAGTTGTGTGGTTTAATTAAATAATATTAATGAAGGAAAAAAAAAAAAAAGAGCACATAAGATGGGTAAGTGCGGAAGGCATCTGAAGTATGTATTGCAATTTATCCTCAAAGGGGGACAAACAGTTGCTTATTGTGCTATAAATTAGAAAGATGCAAAATTAAAGGAGGAATAGGATCTAAAGTTGGTATTAAATAAACAAATCATCATCTCCCTTTTTATTCTTCTTTCCTTTCCTTTCCTTCCAGGAAAAAGGTAAAGCAGCCTATATAATCTGACGTTTGGGTCATTGATTTTTTTTTTAGGTACGTCTGGCTGGCTGTCCAAGGCAAGCAAGTGGCCATGTACGGGTTCATCAACATGCCCTACCGCCCCACTTGCTGCTCTTCCAACGCATCTCTCAACTGTGACGCACACAAATGAAAAATAAAATAAAACTCATAAAATAATGCAACTTGTATGTGGAAATTGAGAAGGTTTGATTTTTTTCAAGGGTCAAATTATTAAACTTTACCTTAATGCAAGGCCATAATACTAAATCTCAAAAACTATTGATGCAAGCTGCCAATTTTGTAAGGATAAATTTTGGTCTACATGTGTAAATTTACATGTAAATTCGATTAGATACACTGCATCAATAAAATTTTATTGATAAAAAATATTTTTTAATATATAAAAGCAAAAAAAAAAAGGAATTTAAATGGTTTATTGTAATATGTTATAATGAAACATGTTTATGTGAGTATTCTTGAAGTGAGTTAAACCTTCAAAATTGTTCTTTTCTGGGTGTTTTACTTCGAATGTTGTTTTGCGTTCAAATTTTTGACTGAGGTCAAATATTCACATTTGTTTGACTTGGAATGAAATCTCGACGTCTCAAATGGATCACTGCTCGCTGCTGCTGAAGAAAATTATGAAAAACATGACGGACTGATGATAATTGACAAATGGAACTAAAATGGCAACGTTAGTGGAACATTGCACTTGGACACGGACCCCACATAAATGCAACGACATGTAAACGCCAGTTTGGCAAATCGGTGTGACGTGTACTGACGAGAACCACCGAACCCACCGCTCGCAGATTGTCTGCGAAAAAGAACAAGTTTTACACGGGTGAATTCTATTTTCACCTAATTTTTGTTTTATACACTACATTTTTAAATATGTTTTAAATTTTAAATTTAATTATTTATTTTTATTAAATATATTCACCATTCACTTTTATTTTTAATTTATATCTTTTTTTTACTTTTTAAAATCAAACTTCTCAAAAATAAATAATTAAAAAGTTTTAAATTTTTTCAAAAATATATATTCGATAAATTTTGAGTCTTATTATTATATATATATCTTTTTTATAAGATCGATTTCACTTTTAATTATGCATTTATAAATCTATTTATTTGATTATATATGTGAATGAAATTAAAATTGATATTCTCAATATACATGATATAAACTTATTCTTTCTTTTAAGTTTCTAAAAAACCAAAAACATTATTTTTTAGTTTTTTGATTTTGCATGAACAAAAGGATATTTTTGGTTTTTTGATTTAAAAACAAAAATACTTTTTATACCCATGCATGCTTGAGAATTAACATGTCTTTTTCATTCGTTTATATGATCAAATAAGAATAGATATATCAATAACTTTTGTGTGTGCATAATGTTAGTCTAAGCTTTAATACCTTATAAAATATTGATCATGATAATATTATCAACAAATTGACAAATACGATAATAAAAACCTCTAATATTTCAGCTAACAGTATCTTTTGACTATCATATAATGGTGGCCTCAAGATTAAATATCTTTATTATCAGAATTAAGCCATATTTTGAAAAAATTATTAGAGATATTTAAAGATCTTAGCACATTAAATTAATTTATTTTAAAATTAAATGTATTTATTTTATTTAAATTAAAATTAAATATTATCAAAAGTTTATAATTAAATATATATTTAAACAAAAGTTTATATATTTTCAAAAATAAAATTTTCAAAAATATAAGATGATTTTTAAAAATTCATTCTTAAAAACATAATATAATTTTGAAAAATCAATTTTCAAAAATTATATTAAATTTTTAAAAATTTACTTTTAAAAATTATATTATTTTCTCAAAAATAAATTGCTAAAAATATAATATAACTTTCAAAAGTATAATTTTGAAATTTACAAAAATGATTTTAAGATATATAAATTATTAAAATATTTTTATCATTCACTAAAAGATAAATTTTAAATTTACTACTTGCGTACTTTTGAAAAAAAAATTGTACTATATTTAGAAGGGCCATTCACACAGATCAAGATCCAAGTATCAAACATATCCCATGTGTTCACATGGACCCCACAGTCTTGTGGCAGAAGACCGTAATTATCACCACTTTCCCAGGGCAAATCAATATCCCCCAAGTCTTCCTTCTAATACAAAAAAAGAAAATAAAATATGTAAGAAAAACCAAAAAAAGACCCCAAATTTCTGCCGGGTTAACTCGAGCCAACCCTGTTGCCTGTTTCGAAGCAGACAACGAAAGAGACGGCTACAAACGGCAAAAACTAACGTCGAAATCACACCTAACGCCTCCACGATATCCCCAACCACACGCATCCCAATGCCCAATATTCCATATGTTCTACGCCGTTAAGAAACGGCATTCCACCGTTTGCCGTCAAATGGTCCGTCAAGTTAACCCCCGAGGCCATAACCTTGCCCCATCCTCTGGTTAAATACGTAACCAGAGTTAGTCGGTTAGTTAAATTAGCGTTACACACACGATAAACACACGTTAAGGCAGACCAAACAAAGAGAGAGAAAGAAAAGGGCGAAAGAATCGGAGATAAAGGAAGACAACGAAAAAAAGTCGCCTAATTGAAGACGCGCGCGAAGCGGTTTTGGGGGGAATTCTCTGTAACGGCGTTTCCTTTTCAGACAGAGAGATTGAGAAATTTTAGAAAGTTGAAGCGAAAAGCGGTTTTGCGAGGTGAAGCAGGGCGATTTTGTAACGGTTAAATCGGTTTTCGGTAACGGTATTTGGATCTCGCGATCTTTACGGGGAGGCAAAGAGGAGGAAAAAAAAGTGTGCGGAAAGTGTAGTTTTTCTGGAATCGAAGAGTCGAGCAGTTTAATCGTGTTAATTACCTTTGTTAATAATCTTAATTATTTCGTTTTATTATGGTGATTAAGTGTGTACAATAAGGTATATTAAGTGAAGGATTAGAGCGGTTTGGAGGATTTAATTGTTTTTTTTGGAGGTTTTTGAAAATTTCTGTTGCTGCTGCTTGTTGACTTGGATAGTTAGAAAGAGTTCAATGATGGTGAATATGGGAGGGTCGCTTTCGCAGACCAATAATGTCTCCTCTGAAGGTAAAAAAAAAAGTACAAGATTGACCGTTGATTGTAGATTTTCTTCAACTTCTTTTCTTTTCCTTTGCTTTTTTCTGGAAAATTTTTGAAAGTTTTCCTTTCCTTTTGAATGATAGGAAATGGAGGGGATGATCTGTATATGGAATTATGGAAGTTATGTGCGGGACCACTGGTTGAGATTCCTCGAGCTAATGAGAGAGTCTATTATTTTCCACAAGGACATATGGAACAGGCAAGTCTCTTTTCGTTTTTTGTATTTTTGTATTTCTTTTTTGGAACGGATTTTTTTCTTCTGTTTGTTCTATTTGGAAATTATTGCGTTTTTATGGAAATGATTAATTTATTGGTTTGTTGATTGAAATATTGCTACTTTCGGTGGGGGATTGTTTTAGTTGGAAGCGTCCACGAATCAGGAGTTGAATCAGAGGATTCCGTTGTTTAATCTTCCGTCGAAGATTCTTTGCCGTGTTGTTCATATTCAGTTGCTGGTAATTTTTCTGTACCTGATTTTTACTTGATTTGTTTAGGTTATAGTAATTTCTAGATGTGTGTTAATTGTCTATTTGGTTACTAAGAAAATGAAGAGGAAAAAAAGAAGTGGAGTAATTGTTTGGATCCTACTTGTTTTATTGTTTTTGATCTTGAAAAGAATGTAAACCTTAAGCTTTGAATAATTAGTTTTTCTTTTTTGAGTAATTAGTTTTATTGGCTCGATAAATTGCGTTTCAGTCAGATGGTTAGTGATGTAGACCAAGTAGACCATTATATTATTCTGCCAACATGATTGATTGGGGGGGATAACTTTTATGGACTTGTTCTGTTTGTAGGCTGAACAAGAAACAGATGAAGTGTATGCACAGATAACTTTGTTACCGGAACCAAATGTAAGAACCAATTTTGTTCCTTCCTGATTTGAACATCTTCCAGTATTGTACAAATTTTTTTTATTGTTTGAAATTAGTGATCCCCAATTATGTTTTTGGCATCTACAGCAACCCAACCCTACAACTCCTGATGCATGCCCTCCTGAGTCTCAAAGACCTTCCATCCAATCATTCTGCAAGGTTTTAACTGCCTCAGATACAAGCACCCATGGAGGGTTTTCTGTTCTTCGCAAACATGCCACTGAATGCCTTCCTCCATTGGTATCTGTTTCTGGATTATGCTATTTGTTATGGCCTTTTCATCTTCTGTTATAAATATTCATTTTATTGATTTCTGTATGTGATGTCTTTCAGGACATGAACCAGGCAACGCCAACCCAGGAATTGGTTGCCAAGGATCTTCATGGTTATGAGTGGCGCTTTAAGCATATTTTCAGAGGTAACAAAAACACCTGATTTATTGTCTTCCTCACTCAGTCTTTTGATATTAAAGTGCATCTATGCTTATGTGAGATACTTTAAGCCTTTGTGTTTTTTCTGTCCATGCAATGTAAAAGATACCTCCATTATTAATGGGCAAATCGTACTCATGATTCATTTGTACATGATTAACTGAACAGGCCAACCAAGGAGGCATTTGCTCACAACTGGATGGAGTACATTTGTTACTTCAAAGAGATTAGTTGCTGGTGATTCCTTTGTGTTCCTGAGGTAGATGTCTTTTTTCATTTTTTGTCCACTTTTATGTGTGTGTGTGCGCACCCTGCACATGTTCTAGCCTTTGCTGGTTATGTTCATTTCTCATGTAGCTGATTAGCTATTCATTTAATTCTTGGTCACCTAGAGGGGAAAATGGGGAGCTACGTGTTGGAGTGAGGCGTGTAGCTTGTCAACAGAGCAGCATGCCGTCATCAGTGATTTCAAGTCAGAGCATGCACTTAGGAGTGCTTGCAACTGCATCTCATGCCGTTTCAACACAAACCCTCTTCGTTGTTTACTATAAGCCAAGGTATGATATTTATGGTTTTGCCAAAAATGAGATTAAAATGTTGTTTCTTTTCTCATATTTGTATTGTGTAAAATATCAGGACGAGTCAGTTCATCATTGGGTTGAACAAATATTTAGAGGCTCTTAACAATAAGTTTGCAGTTGGCATGAGATTTAAGATGAAGTTTGAAGGGGAGGATTCTCCTGAGAGAAGGTACACTTAACTTAACCGCATGATTGCTTTGGGTTGGAGAATGTCTGATCTCTTCTTTAAGTACTTACTCAACATACCTTCATTGAAAAGGTTTTCTGGCACAATTGTTGGGCTTGAAGACTTTTCTCCTCACTGGAAAGATTCAAAATGGCGATCATTGAAGGTAACTTCTTCTTACTTGCTTTCTCCAACTTTAATTTAAATTATTTTGCCTGGTATGTATAACTACTGCTTGTCAACAGGTACAATGGGATGAGCCTGCCTCTATTCCAAGACCTGACAGGGTTTCACCATGGGAGATAGAACCCTTTGCTGCTCCGGTTCCACCTACTCTGTCTCAACCTGTTCCAGCTAAGAACAAAAGGCCTCGACCACCTGAAATTCCTGCTCTAGGTAAGATATTTTTCCTTGTCTGATGCCTCTTTTATTATACTTGATGTTTTATGTATCTGACGTGTCCACTTTGTTTGAATAATATAGATCTAACTTCAACAGCATCAGCTCTTCGGAATTCTGGAGTGCTGCATTCCCATGATCCAACAAGGCGTAACATTACTGCCGAAGCAAAAAGAAATGAAAATCATGTCATGTGGCATCACAAGCAGACTGAGATAAACAGCAGTTGCAGCTCTGTCTTGAAGACTCAGAATGAAGGAAGCTGGATATCTTCTCCTGGCATGAGTGCTTCTCAGCATCTGTATCCTGATGCAAGAGAGGATAGCAAAAGCGTATCTGGTTGGCCTATTCTTTCTGGCTTTTCAAACCCTCAACTGAACAATGATTCAACCTTTGATCCAATTGAAAAGGTAAAGAAATCTGAGACAGCTGCTAGTTGTCGATTGTTCGGCATTGAGCTTATAAACCACTCTGCAAGCTCAACTCCATTGGAGAGGACACCTACACAACTTGCTACTATGACTGCTGGTACAACTGAAGGACGTGGCTTGAGTACCCTGTCACCCACTGATTCTGACCAGAAGTCTGACATTTCAAAAGATTCTAAAGAGAAGCAACAGGAACAGTTACAGGTATCGGCAAAAGAGATCCACAGCAGGCAAAGTTGTTCTAATTCTACAAGAAGTTGTACCAAGGTATTGAAAGTAAAGTGTTCATGCAATTGTTAATTCATTCAATTGTAGAACTATTTGCTTAGTTGAAGAATTTTCATTAAACTCTCTTTGGGGCTGTATATGTGAACAGGTTCAGATGCAGGGGCTCGCTGTTGGTCGTGCCGTGGACTTGGGCATGTTGGAAGGGTACAATCAGCTTATAGATGAACTAGAGGAGATGTTTAATATCAAGGGAGAGCTTCGCTGTAAGAATAAGTGGGAGATTGTCTACACTGATGATGAAGGGGATATGATGCTTGTAGGCGATGACCCATGGCAGTAAGTAACCTGATACCGTTTTTTGTCCTAATTGTTTTTAAATCTCTTCTAGAATTCAATTTATTGCCTTTGATTTTATATTCTTGCAGGGAATTTTGCAATATGGTACGAAGAATATTTATATGTTCAAGTCAGGATGTGAAAAAGATGAGTACAGGAAGCAAACTTCCTTTGGCTTCTATTGAAGGTCAAGGGATTGTGATTAGCTCAGAGTCAGCTGAAAACTGAAATAGGAACCTTTTTATTTTTCTTTTCCCCATTATCGATAACTGTTGTTTGTTTGTTTCCCGTAGGAGCTTTTTATGTTACTTTTAAGCTGTGGAGTATGTTAAAGTTGAGGGAAACTAATCACTTGCTCGTTTTTTAGAGCTGCCTACCATACGAGACGAAAAAGACATTTCCTGGGTTTGAAGAACCAAGACTTCTTCGTGAATTAGTTTGGGTTAGAGGCTAGGACTAGGAAACTGTGAATACTTTTGATCTTTGTGGTGGGTTGGGGGTTATAATATTGGTTTCCTGTGCTTGTAAATATAAAATGTGGTCTGCCATTGTAATCCTAATTAGCATCGCTGTTTTGGTTTTTATCAATCAATAGTCCTTTGCATTTATAAAATTCTTTGCCTTACTAGAAGGATACCCTGGATTAGAATATGAAGCCTGATAGAAGCTTCTAGTTTGGTGAGTGATCATTGAGGAATTGATGTCAATCGGAAGGCCAAGGCAGTCAAATCCTTTGTAAATGCGTTGCTTTGCGAAACTTCCAATCTTTTCCTTTACAATTTAAAACACGTTTGTCGAATTTAATTCTCCTTTTAGGGATTTATATTTTCAGACGAGTTGATCTTTTAAGGCTAGTACATGTTACTTCGGAGTTGGGACAAACATAGTAATAATGTTACCCGTTTTAAGAAACATGCATGTATGTGAACAGCCAAGAGTAATAGATTTTAAATTTTAATAACCCAAATTTAATTTATTACAACTTCAAGTTAGTATCAGAAAAAAAATTAAGTACAAAAAAAAAAAAATTGCAGATACGGGCAGAAACCAATTATGAAAAAGACTCCCTAAGGCTATGGCCGCAAAACGGAGGAGCACTAAGGCATGTAACCATTTGGAAATGAATACCGGGACGGCGTTGCCTCGAGACAAGCTTTACATGAGGAGCTGAAAATACCCATATTTTTTTCTCTTTTCCCTGTTTCCTTGACAATAACTCGACTCAAGGATGCGTCTGCCACTAATCAAATAACATAATAAGATCAATTTTCTTTAAAGAAGTTTGAACTCTGAAATGCTCCGACATTCTTCACATTGGTTCTAAGGTTTTTAACCTTGTAGAACGAAGAGTTAGGGTGATTTCATAAAGATATTTAGCTATATGAAAATAATTGGACTATGATATTTCATCCAACGACTTTTTTTTAGCATATTGTAGCCCCATAAGGCATGCATGAGCATAAGCAGCCTTCCATTCTCATTTCTTACCCATCAAAGCCACACTCACACGCATCTCAATGGACATGGGCAGCCCTGATGCATGATTTTCTATGCCAGACTTAACTCACCTGCATGTGATTGACTAATGACTAATAATGCTATAACAGCCTCATCACTTACGCCCCCATACCTTGGGAGCTTGATTAGTTGTAGAAATTATTATTGTTATTGAGATAGGATGATTTTGATAGCTTTTGATAGGACTACTATTTGATATCTATGGCGTTTCGAGACAAATTCATTAAGAAACCAACATCCATCGCCAAAGATTTAATTTGTTCCTCTTGCCTCTCATTCTTTTTGTTTTTTCTCGCTCTTCAGGATGAATCCCGTTTCTCTTCTTCCGATCCTTTTCTGTATAAATCCACCATCTTGATTGTCAGTTCCTTCAGCTTCATAAATAATTCAGTTTGTTGATCAATGAGTTGTGGCGCCCAACCTAAACATTGAGACACAACCACTTTTACTACAAATCTAAAACATCAGAATGTTCTACAAGAGTACAAGTGTATTTTTCCCCCACTCAAAAAAGGCTACGGTTTTCCAGAAAGGAGGAAAAGACAAAAACAAAAACAAAAACTAGAGAGACTATGGTCCATAACTACTTATATTTAGGGTTTCAAAATTAAGGTATCTCTACATGATCAGTCGCAAAAAGCATTGAAAATATCATTGGTATTAAAATATATAGTTTCATTATGAAAAATAAATAAAGAAATATCTTCTATCTTCAAATTAAATTATGAGATGGGTAACTGCATCTATGAAAGAGCCTAATAACAAACAAAATAGATATTTTGATTAGAATCTTTCAGAAGCTGAATAATAATACAGGAGATGTGACAGAAACTTTTGGACCACATAATATAGAGTATCTGTTAATAGTAAAAATTAATATGTCTTTACCTGAATCTCACTCTCATGATATATTAATTACAGGCTTGATGCAGGAAGAATCTTAAGTAACCCAAATGTATTAGATCAACGTGAAGGAACTTCCCTTTAAAATCTTCCAATGAAAAGATTTGATTAAAAAATATATATCCTGATCGTATTATAAAAAAATATCTTATGCCGATTTTGTTACTCCTAAAAATGATATATCATTTGAATTGAGTTTAAAGCATCTATTTAATATGCAGGAATCACTCAGGCTGGTCTCTTTCGAAAACAGAAAACTGCTAAATCTTTTGTTACTCTTAATTCCTGATATCTCACATCGATTTTGGCTTTTTCCTGTGATAATTACATGCATGCTGTGATAATGAACCTTTTTTTATTCATGTGATCATGAACTCTTGTCATCTTCAGGCAATTTGGTGACAATGAGTTGTAAATATACCCTACCTACGAGCTACCAATTGATCAATGCATACAGATTAAAAATAAGATAGAATTTTCTACATATATACATGAATCCATGAATTTTAGTTGTGTTTATCTGTAACAATGTTTATGGATAGACATGCAGGTCTTATTCATGTGTCCTATAGCTTTCATCAAAATGGAGAGAACTATGGTCCATATATAGAGAAAAGGCATCGATCACATTGGTGCCATTGTTTTTAATTTAATTATTTCAAATATGTAAATGGTGCGGCCTAATTATCATTCTCATTTTAATCCAAAGGAAACCTGAGACTTCGCTCATACATTTTAAGATTTGATATGCATGCTTGTGTGGTTCATACTTCATAGATTTGATATGCATGCTTGTATGGTTCATACTTCTTAGACACAACAAGGATAGAGATATTTCTTTTCTTTCTTTAAAGAATTACTTGATTACTTGATGGAAAAAAACCCAATTGTTCTATCATATATTAATTTAATTTTCTTTAAAAACTTCCTATAACAAAACAATTTTGCAACAATCAATGGTAGTATTAACGCATCCGAATTTCCTTTACTGGAAGAACAAATCTCAAATATCTCTTCTTTTATTTTTCATTACCAGGCTATGAAGGTTAATTTAAACTTTCCTACTCGTGTTGTTGAAAATAGAAAAAAAATTATAAATGCAACTAACTTTTACAGATTAGTCCATTGTAATGAATAATTTTGCAGCAAAATTTGAGAAAACCATATTATTTTTAATTTATTAAATTTATTTATATAATTATTCTTAAAAGATATCATATCGTAAGTTTAAAATTTAAATTCTATCGTTTACAACTCTTTTTTCCTGGATCTTGGCTTTTATTGTAAAACAACAAAAAATTTAATTTTCTTTTACTCTTGGATTTTTTTAATAATTATATATATATATATATATATATGTGGATATATTTTTGAATAACATGTTACTCAAAACACAAATATCATGGAGCATTTAGATTTTAGAGAATTGAACAGCGTCCTGGTCTTGTTTCCAACAAAGGCTTTCACACGTGGGTAGGTCATGAACTCGCATGTGTTTGTTCTATTCCATTTTCACGAGTTGGTTTATAAATATCAATGACTGCTGATGATACAGCGAAGTTAATTCCAACCCGCCGACAAATATGGAGGGGCCTCGTCTAAAAGAATGCACCGCCACGAACTCCGCCCATGCTCCTCTGCTACTTCACACGCTTAAGCCCTCACGCGGAACGGGCTTAAACCGAGTGTTTGTGGTAGTTTACACGTGTGTCATCATAGCTTTGTTCTATCGCCATGCCCAAACACTCCTATACTCTAGAACTCTAGTTTCTTTCTACGTAAGGCTAATGTTATTCATCTCTGATCTTATCCTCGCCTTCATGTGGGCTAACGGGCAGGCTTTCCGCATGCGTCCCGTTTACCGAAAAGAATTCCCTGAAAACATCGAAAAGGTCATGACAACAAGTGATTTTCCAGGGTTGGAAGTGTTCGTTTACACCGCGGATCCGTACAAGGAGCCGCCAATGAGTGCGGTAAACACGGCCTTATCGTTGATGGCTTATGATTATTTAACGGAGAAGATTTCGGTGTATGTATCGGACGATGGAGTATCAGCTTCCACTCTCTTTGCTTTCATGGAAGCTGCTAAGTTTGCAGCCCACTGGTTACCTTTTCCTAGGAAGAACGGTATAGTGGAGAGGAGCCCTGATGAATATTTTGCATCCAATTATTCAAGGAGTTCTGAAACTGAGAAGATTACGGTAAAGCCATTCTTAACCATCTAATGAATTAGCCAATAGCAATTGCTATTTTTTGTGATTTTTAATTTGTATTGCAATTAAAATTTGAAATTAAGGAAATCAACATGAAGAAATAATCTGTTTCCATGACAATTTCATAGTGCAAACATTTTTTTTTCTGAGCTTACCGAAAATTAGATACCATTTTTCAAAATTAAGTGACATATCATATAGGTCTAGTTGTTGGAAAATAGTATATTATGGCCTAATTTAGTATTATTATTGAAAAATTTTGGATTGAAAAAAATAGTTTAAAATACTAAAAGAGTCCTTGAATTTTACCATTTTGTTTAAATAAATCTTTATATTTTTATTATATCCAAATAAATCTTTATTCATGATTTGTATCCAAGTATGTTCTCTTATTTCAAATAAAATAATAATTTATATTAAGAGTTTACTTAAGTACAAATTAAAAGATAGAGGCTTATTTAGATATAAATTAAAGTCTAAAAGTTTATTTGAGTGCAAAGTAAATGTCAATACTTATTTGAGTGTAATAAAAGTATAAAAGTTTATCTAAATAGAGTGGTAAAATTCAGAGAATTTTTTTATTATTTTAGCAAAAAAAAAAAAGCATGTTTAAAATTGTGATGAAAAAAATATTAATTAAGAATTTTAAATGTTTAGCATTATTGTGATAATTGAAATGTCCTAAAAAAAATGTATAATATAATAAAATTTTAAAGATATGAAACAAAAAATTTTTGATTGGATTTACATTTAACTTTTAAATAAAAAGTCATATTTTTTTTTAGTGTTTAAAGTTGAAGTTGGGCCAATAACAAATTTTGAACTCATTTTCAACTTCAATGCTAAAATTAGCCGCAAAAGTTTATGTTTTTCACTCTAATTATACATATTAGCAAATTGATTGAAGATATGGATCAATATTTATCATTTTGTCTGGTTTCATTTATTTATTTTTATTTAAAAAGTTTTCTTCGGGAATGATCGGCTTGAAATTAATTTGAGCCAAAAGTATTTAAGCAAATACGAATTTTAATGCACGATAAAGGTACTGATATTTGGAATTTGGATATAAAGAGCCATCAATTCAATTAATGAACCAACCTCATCGAGTGACGTAACAATTAAAATATTGGGTTCTTGAAAAGTCTAGCAATAATCTCGACAA